GCAAGTGGTGAAATGAGACCTGTTAGAATTGACCGATCCTGAAAACCACATCACATGATCTTGCTCTCATACACAGCCTACAATTATCTCAAGGCTCCTTGCATCAACCGCCATCACAGCAATATATCGCAACAAGGCGTGATGAATCTACGCAGCGATTTTCGTGATTTCACCACATCTGATCGGACAAAATTGGACAGTTTTGAATTCGCAAGGTGACCTGCCTTGCGAATTCCAAAAAGAGAGGTCAAATATGCAGTTTTTGGCAACCACAACGGTGCGACGGTATCTAGCGGAATCGGCATATTTTACCGCGAGACGGCAAATCGGCCATTTTTACCGTTTTGTGACCACCCGACAGCAAAATACAGGAGCCAAACATAAACCACAAAAGCATCATATTTCCACCAATAAAACGCATGCATTTGAGCACGGTCATTTCCACAACTGTACTGACACTTTGCTGGAATCGCTCTCAACGGGCGGGGTGCGAACTTCACCACTGACGAGTTCGTTGTTGAACATATCCCAAGATGAGTCTAAGGGGAGCAGGCAAAAGCCCGAGCAGTTTTGGGCCCGCGTGGAGGCGAACTATTGCACCTATTGCGAGCCGGACTACCATCGCACAGCACAATCCTTAGCTACCCCGGTGTTTGGCGTGGTCCGTTACTCGAGCTTAGGATCTCCCAAGCGTCGTACATGTCCTCGTTCATGTCTCATGTCTCGATGGCATTGCTCTATACTACAGTATCCGAAAATGACAGTTAACGTTATGCGGATTTTATACCGTTTTATCGTTGGGGTTGCGCAAAAGTAAAATACAGTGTGTAACGTTAGTGACGGTAAACGTCAAAATACAGTCTGATTATACCGTCTCACCATTGGGGATGCCCTTACTCCTGGAGGATGATGGAAATGACAAACGTTAACTGTAAAACAAAGTAATTTTCTTTTGCATTTTGAATCGCTTCGACGAAACGCAAGGGGGAGTCAATTTACTGAGACGCAATCTAATCCGTAAACTACTTACGCTAGTACGGTACCCGAGGCTGGCCCCGAAACCCCTAATTCCTCGATGGTCTGAATCGGTCGAAACTCGTGGTGCCCAGGCTGGGCACTGCGTTCGCCACAGTACCCGCTCAGCACGTTCGTCGTATCTGGTGAAGGAGTCATTCCTATATTTTCCAAAACGACAACGCCCCTCGATGTATGTCCAAGTATTTGTGAAGCGCACCAATGGTGATGACGGTGGAAGCAGACCTGGATGGCACTGTCCTACTGTCCTGGCGTTCAAAGAAGAGCTGCAGGACGTGACGGGGGTCGCTCCACCCTTGCAACGAGTTGTTGTGCATGGCAAGTTCCTGCAGAACGACCAAACCTTGCGCAGCTACGACGTGGTCGCTGGTCAGACACTTTATATTGCGAGCTATGTGGCCACCGCCACCACCTCCCGTCCTCCTGCACCACCGTCACAACCGCCTTGGGTGTTTCCAGTCTCGAGTTCGTTTCGATCTTTCGCTACAGGCAACCCAAGCACGGCAAAGTGTGCGAGCGTGGACCCAGTGGCGGGAGGCGGCAAAGTATGGTGGATCGCTCCCCCGACCCTCGAGATTTTGCAAGCCAACCCTGTTGAGACGAAGTGGCTCGTGGAGTTTTTCAAGAACGTTGGGAGCAACGCCGAGATCTTGCAACGTACGCGACAACCCTGTCATGCGGCAATTTGTAGACGATCCCGACTCGCTGGACGCGGCGGCGGCCCACCCCGCGTTGCTTCGTCAAGCCATGACAGCAATCTACACGCCTGCGACGATGCGCGACATGCAAAGCATCAACCATGCAGGAAGGGCGTCCCAGACACAAGAGAGGGTAGCCATGGCCTTGCGTCAAGTGGACTGGGCTAGCCACAACCCTGTCACCTGGTCGAGACCCATCCAGCTTACGACCAGTGGGACCTCGACACAAGAGAACGGATGCTTCGCCCAGAGGTGCTTCGCGCCGCGATGAGATCTATCCTCGTGGAAAATGCAGCGTGTACTTGACCTTGGGGGGTTGTCGTCAACTGACGGACGAGCGTGGTGTAGAGCAACGAATGATGGTCGCCCACGACGTGGTAATGCTAGTAGTAGTACTAGAGGCGACGCCTGGACATGGCGAGCAGCCAAGGGGATGATGCCCCCTTGAGGGGAACGACATCGTTGCCAACGAGCAACTAGATCAAAGTTCTGCAGCAACGAATGACAATGCCGGGGTTGATGCCGCCTTGTTGTTGTTACTTCAAGAAGAAGCTGCGATTTGCCATGCGTGGCTACGCTTCCAAACGGCAGAAGCCATGATGGAAGACATCAAGATGTTGATAATGCATGAGGCTACTGCGAGGGCTGCTTTGGACGACGATTACGAAGTCGCCCAACTTCTTGCCATGATGCCAGATCAAGACGCTGGTAATTACTACTACCGGTAGTACAGTACTCTGGTCCGAAATAACTGCTTCAAAACGAAGTCTTGTATCGTACACAAACTCATTTTCGATTCTAATTGGTGAAAATGAAAGCTGATGATCTCCACTTTGATTGGGTACTTAAAGCAGCTTAAATTTCGATGACTTGACGAAACTGCAGAACTTGAAAAACGGCCCTTCAAAGTAGAAAATACAATTTGACCAGCCAGTGAATCAAATCTCAACTTTTCACCCCGTCTTGCCGAGAGGTTTAACTCGTTGTTTCCAATGCCCTTGATGTACAGTGTACTCACAAAGCGCTGTGATATAATTGACGTAAAACATGTTCAACAGACACCAAGCACCATACATGGCCGTGCGCCTTCGTTACTGTCAGTAGGCCTCCGACGACAGCGAAATCGAGCCAAAGGCTAAAGGATGCATACTTGTGGCCCTTCGATCAAGCTACGGACCTGTATTCCGCGCATTGTGGTGTGTGCAGGCCTTGCAGTATTAAAATCTTCCTATGTAAGTCCTTGACTTGGTCCATGTCACATTCTTTATAAATATGTCCTTGATGTACCACTTCGAAGTACTTAAGGAGTATGGTGCACTTCATCTAAAAACTTCCAACTGGCCAAATTGAAGAGTGAAGGTTTTATTATTTAACGTGCAATTAATGTAGTTAAACCCAAATTCCAGATACGTTAAATACCGATTTCATGCGTTTTATCACTGGAGTGGGAGGTTAAAGGTCCAAACTGCCTCCGGATATTATATACGGATAAGAATCACATACAAAAATCAAGATACATCTCAGCGGCCACCCCTATGGCCAAATATCCTAGCGCCCATGTAAATACCGCTAGGTTAAATATCTATTTCTGGACCAATTCATCACCAAATTTGAATATGAGACGTAGAATTTCTTCACCACATTGAGATCTGTCGATTCTACGTCTCAATTTGCTGAAAATTTGAGTAATGAATATGAAATAGAAGTCAGAAAATTTTGTGAAAAGTTGGTAGTTTATAGATGACGTGCACCATAATCATTATTAATGTAATTATATATTTCATACTATTTCATACTACAACCAAGTATAAAAATGTATCGAAGTATTATTTTTCTGCATACTAAAACCAAGTCTATAAATTCTGCAACGAGGATACTGTAATACGTATTTTGGAATCTACTTCGAAGCACTAATATAATTAATATAAACACGAAGTTACGCGTAAAACACACAGTACGTTAAGTGAAGCGATACACATGTCCATACCACAGTGAACTACCGCAAAAAGGTGTCGGTTAACCACAAGAACGCAAGCAATGAATGTTTCATATTTTAGAGTATTTGTCATTCATTATTAGCATTTGTTTTGATTTTATATTTTTCGCTTTCGCACTATTATTTATGGTAGAATTTCGAGAAAATTATTCGTTCGACACTTTCATTGGCAGAAATGAAGGCCACATGTCCATATGAATTGCAAGTAATTCCGTGGAAATTCCTCTTACTTGCTTCGGATTGGCTATAATTTCTCGCCCTATGGTGCGTTCTACAACCTCATTTTACGACGTGAAGAACTCACACACCTCATGGGCGTCCAAGTGGTTGTGAAGCGCTCCAACGGCGACAAGTTGACGGTGGAAGCGGACCTAGATGGCACTGTCCTGGCCTTCAAGGAAGTGCTGGAGAGCTTGACGCAGGTCCCCCCATCCCTGCAGCGACTCATTTACAAGGGCAAGGTGCTCAAAGACGAGAACACGTTAGCGAGCTACGACGTCGAAGCGGACCAGACGCTGTATTTCGTCAAGGGGGCCGTGAGCAAACCCACTCCAACACCCGCCGCGGCTCCAGCGGTCGCTCCCACCCCACCAGCCGCCGCTCCATCCCAATCGTCTCCATTTGGCATTTTACCAACGAACCCCTTCGCGTCACCATTCGGCGGCGCAATGAATCCGTTTGGTGGTGCACCCGCAGGAGGATGGGGCACGCCGCCACCCAACGTGCAAAGCATGATGCAGAACCCTGAAATGATGCAGCAAATGATGGACTCTCCCATGGTGCAGAACATGCTGAGCAACCCCGAGATCATGCGCGGGATGATGCAGGCCAACCCGGCGATGCGAACGCTCCTCGAGCAGAACCCCGAGCTGAACCACGTCATGAATGACCCGGAACTTCTTCGGCGAAGCATGGAAGCAATGCGAAACCCTGCCGCGATGCGCGAGATGATGCGCAACCAGGACACGGCGCTGCGGAACATCGAGTCCCACCCCGAAGGGTTCAACGCCCTTCGGCGCATGTACACGGAGGTGCAGGAGCCTCTCCTCAACGCAACCGCGTCCAACGCGGGCATCGGCGCGTCCAATCCCGCGTTTGTCATGCCTGGCGCTGTCGGCGGGTCGACTGCAACTTCGCCAGCAACCACGACGACGACGTCCAGTACGTCGAACCCGTGGGCAGCAGCATCGTCGTCTTCTACATCTCCGAATCCGTGGGGGACTCCACCTTCGTTTCCATCAGCAAACCCGTTTATTGGCGGTGGGTTCGACCCGAACATGTTGAATAACCCGATGGTCCAAGGCATGATGCAGCAGATGGCGGAGAACCCCGCCATGATGCGCAGCATGATGGAGATGAATCCGCAGTTCCAGCAACTCGACCCCGCCACACGAAACATGATGCTCAACCCAGACGTCCTCCGCACCATGATGAACCCTGCCAACCTCCACGCCATGATGCAATTGCAGCAGGCAATGCAGCAGTCGTCGTCGGGAGGAGGGACCAACACTCTGTTTGGCGCCCCGACGGCGGCAACACCTGGCACCCCGTTCTTCCCTGGCGCCCCGGCTTCCACCAACCCGGAAGACCTTTACGCGTCTCAACTGTCCCAACTGGTCGACATGGGGTTCACTAACCGAGAACAGAACCTCCGCGCATTGCAAGCCACGTTTGGCAACGTGAACGCAGCCGTAGATCGCATCTTGAGCGGGTTGTCGTAGAAAGTCGAGAACGATTAACGAGACTAGTATACCGTATCGCATTTGTTGGTGGTTTGGATCGTTTCTGGGTTTCGGAGCTTGGTACGTACTAGTAGTTGTGCCCCCCGATGAATTCCGTTAAGTTTGTCCACACAAAGAGTTAACGATTGAACCACCTTCGTCAGCGTCGTGTGGCAATGTGTAGTTTACAGTACTAGTAGTAAATAGTACTAGTAGATATACACGGTTTACGAAACAAGTACGAAACAATTTCAACACAGTCACGAAACATTTTGTTTCGTAAAACGGAAGTATCGATTTTCCTTTGTGCTGGAGTTTGTATGGTGCTTCAAGCATAGAAAAATACCACTGATTTACGAAACATTCACGAAACACTGGATTGAAGTATAGTTAGAGGATTTTGAAACGCACAAATTTAGGTTCTTTGGGCGTCACAAATGCATGGCGATATCGTCTCAAGGTGGAGTTGTGCGTCATTCTTAGTGTCCAAGGACTGGCTAACGTCAAGCGTACGAATACAACATTGCCTGAACTACTGTACTGGTTGGTGGCTTATGCATGGGAAAGGTGTACCCATCTACGACTAACGTTAAGGCAAAAATGGTTCCTTATACCAACAACTATCCAACACGCGTTAATGGTAACTACAGTATGGCGTTAACGTTAGTAGGACCAGGAGCCACGATGGTGTTAGCTTGGGGGCGTTGTGGAAGGCTGCCTCTCCTCCATCTCTTACCATAAGCTTAGTGCAACTCGCATTCCTCTCACCTCCATTCGACATACCGTACTCGTCGAACTCGCCGTGCCTCATTCATGGGAATAGGATAAAAACGTGTGGCCATTTGACTTTTTAATGGTGGTCACCGAAAATGTCATGTGTTGTTGTTTTGCTCGTGGTTAAACTGTGGAATTTACTGTTAACGAGAATTGCTGGGCATCCTTATACTTATCAACGCGTAAACATTCGAACTATAACTTATGGTATGACCAGCACTACAGCTCACAAAGTACACTCAAACACGGTTACAATACCTGCGCAAAGATATAGGGTCCACGGCTTGTTTGCTTGTTTTACGTTAGCTATGATGAGTGATATTACACTTACTGTACTAGTACTGGGCTTCTTGACTATGAAGCAACAACCCAGTAATGCCCACTAAATAAAACTCCACCACACCATTTAACCACGAGTGAAGCCCCACGTCTAACTCTACCTGAAAATCCACGAGCAAAACCCCAAAACACCACTAGTGAAAAACTGCCTCCTCCTCACTCATAAGCATATACAGTACATCGAAGTAGTGTACAGTACATACATGCTAGCACCAACATATTTCGAAGTAAAAATTAACATCAAATCTTGTCCAGTTATTCACAATGTAATCGACCAAATTCTCGCTTGTGTACTACCGGTAGTATGTTGCCACTTGCATCGTCCAAGCCACTGTCTTGGATGATGGTTGACTTCATGTTGGCAACACGACAACTTCGTCGAATTGACTCGTGGCTCGGCTCGATTCACCCCGCTTATTTGAGACTTCGATTAGGTCCAGCCCCCAACAAGTACCTTGTCAACATACAGTCTTTGAGTTGGTCTTGCTGTAGTGCATGCGAGGTTCTACTCATGTTGCATTTTCATGACGTGCACCTCAACTTTACTTGTGCAAACACACCACCACTTTGGTTAGTAGTACTAGTAGTATATACTAGATACTGTAACGTTTCGTGTTTGTTTCGTGAACCACCAAGTAACAGTAGATAACAATTTGGTAATAGTGATGTAGGGTGTATTGAAGTTGCTTGGCGACTTATTCCTACTAGTACAGTACACAAAAAGGAAGAGATGTATGTAACCAAGCGGGGACGTTATTGAAGTTGCTTGGCAACTACCAGTACAACATTGTGATTAGTATGACGACGTTGCCTTAGAACAGTGACATTGTCAAGATACATACAAACGTTAGGTTACCTGCCAGTTGTTTGCGCAGGACTCGACACGTGGCTTCCGCTTGCAGCCACTTGCGTTTGAAACTGCCTTGGGCCCACAATTCATTGGTTACGTGGTCGGTTCGTACAACTTGATTTTGCACTTGCCTTGCCAGCAAGTCGTTTTCCCTGCCAACCAATCAACATGCAGCACTGTAGATGGTAGTAGAACTAGTAGTAAGTAGCCTACTCGATCATAGCTGCTTGGACGATGTCTTGCTCCACGAGCCGGCGCGACGTGTCCGCGGCCATCGCCGCCAGTTTTGCGTTGCGCTTCTACGTTAATCACAGACTTACTAAAGTATGATGTCACAATGTACAACTGACGTGGAGTTCGTCCTGTGTTGCTGAGAGCGTTCGTTGCAATTGGTCGCATTGGGCCTGCACGCGAAGCAATTTCTGGGTCACTTGCGCCGTCGCGGCGTCGGCCGCGGCCTTCTCTTCGGCCAACGCTTTGACTTGGGCTTCCAACTCTCGTCGATTTGCCAGCGAGAGGGCTGCGCTGGCTTCAGCGCATTTGGATACATTCATCGACACACAAGCAGCAGAGGCCGTTGATTTGAGCCACTTTTTGAGTTTGAACGTGGCGAGTAGGGCGTTGCGAACAACGTTAGGGGGGTGGCTGCAGTCCACGACAGTCCACACGATCACGGCGGCAGCGCGGTGGATGTACGGGTACACTGCCGACATCAATGACGACGATGGTGCGGGAGACGAAGTGGGACGGAGCTGGCCGGTGTACCACGGATAGCACACCCCCGTGGACGGATGTAGCATCGTCGCAACCGAACAGATTGTAGCGGTCGCCGTGCCATCGAATGTGACTTGCAGCACGAGGTGGTCCTCGGGGTCCACTGGGCTGTGTTGCATAAGCTGTACAAGAGGTCGCCAATTCAATGGCGTCGTCTGTACGAAAGGTGTATGTTGTTAGCTCGTAACAACAACAGCAACGATGACGACAACGTACGATGGGAATGTGGAGTTTGTTGGCTGGAGTCGACGTGGGCTCTATATAACACTCCTCGGGTAGCGACACCGCGTCCAGCGATGAAAAGTGATCCCGGATACCGCTATTTCCCACGACATTGTAGTACGATAGCGTAAGCAACCCCCGTCGTCCGGTAAGTAGCGCATCGAATATAGCTGGTAGCTGATCTTGGAGCCACGAGCCACTGAACGCGCCAACGTGCAAGAATGTCATGTGGTGGTCGTGACTCATGGCTGGAGCTAGCACCGTCGACCACCCTGGCGGAGACTCGGCCAAGGACCATCCGATGGAATGAAAGCGAAGGGGAGCCGATGCCTCGCCGGACGGGTCTCGCCACTGGATGCACTTGGGATTCCCACGTTGACGCTGGAGCATCGCCGCCGTCGCCGCCTATGTCGTTGTTGTCGTCAAGCACGAGATAGGGCAAGATGCAACTGACCGCAGTATGGCAACCTAACGGATTGTGTACACGCAAATGGCATTTGAATCTATAGACCAGGTACATCAGACCAATGCCACCATAACAACACGTGCGACGTACTCGGGCATGCCGCCAACTCACTGTCAACACGTGGATCTTTTAAACGACACATCCGGTAATTATCCGTATGTCCCCGCCACGCGTCGACGCCGTTGGACAGTACTGTATTGATAATGCGAAAACGCAAACCTCGGCTATGCAATCACCAACACACGCTCGTTGTCATTAAAGGCTGGCCATGATGCGATGATGGACATCCCTTGATCGCACTGTGCCTACCTGGAAGGATCCTGTTCACCATGAGATCCCGACTGAGGTCGTCGTGAACGTTCGCGACGATGCAGAATTTTATTGCGGTTTGTGGGCGACTTCTGATTGGTTCGCCAACGTCGCCATCTGATTGGCTATTGGGTTTCCGCCGCGTGGAACGTCTTTTGAAGTGTCAACATGGATGGTGGCTCATTCGTCCATTTGCCATGTCGGAGGCTATGCTTCTCTCGCCAAGTACCGACGAAACGGCCGCCTTGTCCTCGTACTCGTCGAAAGAGACACCGCAACTCCTGGACCTAGACACGACCATGGCCTTGGCGGATACGCTGCTGCACCACGCCAAGTGCCGCGACGCAATCGAGCGCGACCGCCGCGTCACCTTCTTCCGCGGCAAAGAAGTCCGCAAGTGTTTTCGCAATGCGAACGACAGTGTCGAGGACATTGGACACTCGCTTCTGGCACATGGTTTCATCCACAAGTCGAGACGCATCAAGGCGCCGCCGTCGACAAAGGCGCCAACAACTTCAACATACCCACACCTCGACATCGACGAGGCCGACCAGACCTTCACGGACGACGGCGTGTACACGTGGATGTACGAAGGATCGTCCATTTGGCGCCACATTGCTAGCTTGTCGTTCTTTGGGGTTCTGTGCATGGGGGTGTTGTATCCCGTGTGGCCAGCATGGGGTCAGAAGATGCTTTGGGACTCGGGGGTTACGGTGGGCTTGGCGATCGCAGCCATGCTCGTCGTGCGTTTCATCACGTGGTTGATCGTGTGGCTCGCAACCGGGAACCACATGTGGGTACTGCCGCAGTTCCCCGTCCTCCGTCCGACCTACACCGTATCCAACTCGAAGCAAACGACGACCGCATCACGAATGTATCGTGTGGGTGTGGCGGTGATAGTCGTCGGGATCGCACTGATGATGTGGCACCATCCACCGGCCTGCTCATTGTCCGCCAAGAAGGGTTGCATGAGTGTGGGTCGGAAGCTGGTCAAGCAAGCGTACAGAGGGACACTGCTCCAGCGGTTTTCCCAGGAAGAGAAGAACTTTGCCATGACGATGTTGCGCGTCCTCCGTCGATTGTTTTAGACCAAGATCAGGATATCGTTGATCGCGTTAATTGAACTATTTATTTAGATAATTTGATACTTCGAAGTACTATACATACTGTATTAATAGTACTAGTATTTTGACTCCCACATGCTAAATTCGACAGTTTTTACGCTAAAAACTTGATGGTAGGTAGTTCAAGGTAATTTTAAACTAATTGGTGTACACTGTACGTACATTTTGCTTCTGTAGGTGCAAGGTATGATACTGAACATAATTTGCATCGGAAGAACCGGTGCCGTAACAAGACAAACTAATATATGATCTCGTCCTGAGTGCTTCTCAACCAGAAAGCAAGATGGGATCGGACAAGGGCAGCATTTCGTGAGGTTTGGTGATGAGGCGGTTGGGATGTTCGAAATTCGACGTACTGCACGTTCAGTGTACGGTCAAGCAAGTCACCTTTATCCGGATACGTAATAGACTTGCATTTTGTATGGAAATCAGGCCACGTCACCAATACAATGGGAATTTTGCGGAATTTCATTTTCTATTCATCCACCACACCACCCGTCGCTACATTACTCGCATCATGGGGGCCGAATGCTGTGACGGTCATGGACATTCCCACGGAGGACCTGCGGTGGCGCATGTTGCTGGAGCCCCGCTGACTGCTGAGGTACTATCTTACGTCTATGGAGATGACATGCGGTGTGTCCTCATGCACACATTGTTTCTCACAGGAAGAGGCCGAGTTCAAGAAGGTCAAGAAGATGGCCGACTTTCTTCGCGGCCGCAAGGGCATGCCCGTGCGCCAAGCCATCGAGATGGGAAAGCGTGTCGAATTCTTCCGGGGCGACAAGCTCGGTAAATTCCTGCTGAACAACGCCGTGGCCGAACGGTACTGCCCGTCGCCAGTGACGGAAAAGGCACATGCCATCGACATGGGCAAGTTGTTGATCCATCACGGGTTCATCCACCGCAGCAACCGCGACGAACGCAACAAGAAGGTGTTGCAGCCCACACAGGACACGGAGTTTGTCGCCGACGGGTACTACACGTGGATGTACGACGGCCCGACGACGTTCCGCAACTTTCTCACGACGCTGCTCATCATCGGGTTCACGGGCCTTGTGTGCTACCCGATCTGGCCGCAGTGGATCAAGGTCGTCGTGTGGTATTGCTCGGTCACGTTTTTGATCTTCATCTTTGTGTTCTCGCTCGTGCGGGTGTTTGCATTTTTCATCCTGTGGCTCGTGGGCATTGAGTTTTGGTTCCTGCCCAACATTTACGACGACAACCTGGGGGTCGTCGACTCGTTCAAGCCGCTGTACAGTCTCAAGAGCACCGACATCAGTGAACGCAAGTACCGCGCGATTGCATTCGTCTTGTTCATCGTCCTGTGCGTATGGATCGCCCAGCAGCCCACCGACTTTGACGAGTACATGGAGCTCACGAAGCAGTTTACCGACGACATCTACTCGGGCAAGCTCATCGACGACATGAGCCAGCAACAGCGAGACAGCATAGACAAGATGAAGATCCCCGACCTCGAAGACCTCATGAAGGACGACGCGACGGACATTTTCTCGGAGAAGGACGAGGATGCGATCTTTGACAACTTCCTGGACTCCAAGTACTTTTCCAAAGACGGCGACGATGTTGACGAAAAGGACGACTTGTAGGCTTGATTGAATAACACGTTCTCATATGTATATAGCCCCCTGCTTTCCGTACCTTTCCTAGCATGATGCTGCGGTACGTACCACAGGAAATCCTCACAGGGCGGCGCGAGGACGTTCCTCTGACTCGCCTCGCACACATGGAGACGATCACTGGGCTTCGTCCTCGTCCTTTGCATACCATGACCTTTCAGAAATGTCTTGCCGTGACATCTATTCCACCTTGGCACCGCCGCGCGCTTTCAGTTGTCCGCGCAACTGAGTTTGTAATCTGCCCACAATTCGATTTTTTCTGGTCCTTGAACGATTATCCGGATTATTCCGGTTATTGTGCGAATCAACATGGTTTGACACTGACCATGTGCCGCCCACATCGGAATCATGTTGGAGATTAATCTAGGAAACCATCCTTATCCGGATATATCCGGTTTTCACTTCTTTGTTGTGGTTGCTCCAGGGATGATTTTTCAGATTGGTTTTTCGCGCACTTTCTGCTCATTTCGAGATTTACCATGGAGGGTTTCCATGCTTCCGCCGCCGATGCCCGGCTGCCGTATCTCCACGAGCAGTACCCCCGCCTGGCCGTGCTGTATCCGTTCGCCTTCGAAAACACATTCGTACGGCTATCCTCTCCCATCAGCTGAACACGTGTAGATGCTGACGTGGGAAGCACAATTCTGCCGCTCGACGATGCATCTCTGCGTGGCGTTGTGTGCTGCATACTGCTTCTCGTGCTACTTTGGGAAGCAAATCATGCGTTCTCGCGAAGCCTTCGACATGACTCCGTAAGTATATAATGGTACCCTCATCGTCTTTGCTCGATTGGTCGATATTGGACTTTCTAACATTTGATTATCAAACAGGGTGTTAGCACTGTGGAACTTGAGTTTGTCTACCTTCAGCGCATGTGGGGCACTTCGAACGGTGCCGTTTCTTCTCCATTCCATCTACCATCACGGGGTGTACCATTCCGTGTGCAGCGACGCGACAGCGCACTACGGAAACGGTCCTGTGGGGCTTTGGGTCTCCATGTTCATCTTCTCCAAGGTACTATTTAGTTCGTGACATTGAATCGGGACGATTGTTAGACATTACGACTCACGGTATGTGCAGATTCCTGAGCTTTTTGACACGTTCTTTGTCGTCATTCGCAAGAAGCCGTTGCGATTCTTGCATTGGTACCATCACATCACGGTGTTGCTCTTTTGCTGGCATGCGTACTCTGTGCGCTCATCAAGGTAACTACACACATGTTCGACATCACTTTGTTCACCCTGATCGTTTCGTGCTTCATAGTGGCCTCTACTTTGTTGCGATGAACTATACCGTCCACGCTGTCATGTACATGTACTATTTCCTCACAGCCGTGGGGTATCGTCCTCGGTGGGCATACCTTGTCACAACGTTGCAATTGAGTCAGGTAAGAATCGAAGGATTCACATCACCTCGGGTATATCCATCTCTGACCTCGGAACTTCAATCTTGTAGATGGTGGTGGGTGTCGCCGTCTGCGCCGCAAGTGTTATCTACCTGTCGACCTCGTCGTCGTCTTCCACGACTACATGCCATGCCAACCGAACGAACCTTCAATACGGCATCGTCATGTATGCGAGCTACTTTGCGCTGTTTTTGCACTTTTTCATCCAACGCTACAGCACAACCACCACTTCCAAGAAGTCCCAGTAACGCCAGCCATTTCGTGTTCCCATCCCGACTATAATCAATCGTGTCCCCATGGTACCACAATACCCTCCCTTCCCAAGACTATTCAATGTTGATCGTGTTCAAGTACGCGACCATCTCCTTGATCATGCGCTTGTCTGCTCGTTTGCGGTGCTTGACCATCAACTGCAGTCGCGACCACGCCGTCCGAATGTTCCCGTCCATCTCTACATGCGTCTTCGTCTTCGACACCAACTGATGCGCCGTCTGCAAGTCGGATTTCGCTTGCGACGTGTCGTGCGTCGCCATACTTAGCACGCCCCTACATCCACCCCTCGATGAGGCATACATATCCCACATACACTCAAAGAGACGAAAGATCACCTCAAGTAGAGGGCGGGGATGTGCTCGGACGACACTGTCAATGCAAACGTCAGGCACTCGATCGCGTCCTGGGTGCAGCCCAACGCGTGCAAACACTTGGCACTGTTCATGCATAGGTGCAACCTTAGATCTGCGATCGCTGACGTTTCCACGGGCAGCATGTGCACTTTGTGGATGGGAACGTTGTCGGCTTCGGTGCCGTTGTCAAACATCACGTCCACCACGTCCTCGTTTACGTCGCTCACCATCCCCACCAGCCATGCGGTGCCCTGCTGCACCTACAGTACATCACTTGAGGTTTGTATAGGTGCAGAATAGGCATACAACGTACTTTGACGGGGTGCCCCACAGTCAATTTCACTGCCGTCGGTCGTCGCGACGCATTGAACGCTTCCGACACGGTCAACGTGGACAGCGCCACGCGGTAAAACGACCGCGCCGCCGTGTAATTTCCTACAGCATATAATTGGATCAGTCCTGTACCCATACAAATAGCCATATAAAAAGCTCTCTCCACCATATTGGAGCATTCATGGACACATACAAATAGCCCTATACAAACGATACACCCAACAATGCATCCTATACATCATACAGGTGTAATGACCTTCCGACATAATTGTACTACGTAGTATTAATATATATACCCCATACTAATCAAGATCGATGCTTCAAATATATAATACGTATACAAATGATATAGTTATGTATATCATAAATACAAACATCCATAGTGTAGTACATAACTAATAATATATATAAATATATATATACCGTCGCGAAACCAACGATTGCCCGTAGTTTTGAGCGTTGTTGCCACGTCGACGGCGTCACGCAGGGTCAAATCGATTTGCAATGACGGCAACTGGATGACATTGATGCGATGAACCGTTTCGAATGTGTCGACTTGACCAAGCAAACTCGTCGTCCATGCTGCCACGTCATGGCTCTTGGCGGCGAGGTGGGCCACGGCGCCTCGAAGGTGGGGTTGGGGCACGAGGTTGGCCGCGGCAAAGTCGGGGGACGACGTCACGATATGTTCAAGCACGCCGCGCATTTCCGACCACACGATCTTGTGTTTGCTCAGGCAGAGTCGGAGCACGACGTGGCCAAATATCTGGTCGTGACGGGTGGTGGATTCTGGTGCTGCCACGTCATCCCGCCACAACACATGCACCAAATTGAACAAGAATGCCACCGCGTTGTAGTGCAAGTCGAATGTTTCGTGATACAAGACGTACTCGCGGCACACCAGCGCCGGCAGTTTGGCCTGGAACGTGACTTTCACGTCGGAAACAGTCGTCGTGGCATGCGCCAGCATCGACAACAGCGCGGCTTCGTTCGTGAGGACGTACCAGAGCTTGACTTGACGCACAAAGGCAAGTCCAAGGTCGGAAAGGTCGCCGAAGCCGGCAAACGGACCCGTGGAAGCGGATGGCACGAGCAGCGCAGGAGCATGTTCTGCTACCGACGCGACGAGGGCCGCAAGCGTGTGAGCTGCCTAAACGAGCATGAGAAGAAGGAGGAAGATGGAGTGCGAGCGTACAAGAGAGGTGGAATGCAACGGAGCGTCTTGGATAGACGTGGCGACGTCAAGGATGGACCGACGGGCGGACCATAGTTGAGGCAGCAACGGGGTTACGGTTTCGGCGCATTGTGCGAGACACCTCCACAACACAAGATGGAGATCCGAGTCGGCATCGTTTAGTGCTGGAGAGGCAAGTACGTACGTCAGGATCTACCATGGAGCTGACAGACGACAGTCGAAGCTAGTCGACGTACCGACGACGATTCCCACGCGCTGGCAATGGTGGGGTCATGTGCATGTTCACTGAGGAGGCGAAGGGCTTCCGCTTGAAGAGAGAGGTCATCGTGGTCATCATTGGTCGCTATGGACGCGAGGACCTTGACACCGTGCGCTGTCGTCAAGTGCACGCTCAACGCGTCGGCGGCGTCGTTAGCCATGAGGATTTCGAATAAACCTGTATATTTGGATATTGTTGTTTGGATTTCTTTCTGCAATATATTTATTTGGGGGAGTTATGCTTTGCCAGGTTCCAATTACATGTACTGTACTGTACTTGGAACCAAAGCAACGGAGTACGTACATGCCGTCGACTCAGATGAACATGCAAGTGTGATTTACCCATACATGTACCGGTTACCGTGTACTTGAGGTAATACTAGTACTAGTAGGTCGTTTGAGTACATACAGTACTTGTATGAGTACTGTACACTGTACAGTTTACCCGTGTCCTGTAAAACTTACAGTTTACCCGTGTCCTGTAAACCTTACCTTGGTTTTCTTCCCATCTGTTTCGTCCGTGGGGAGCAGGTCGGGTTTAAAGGGGCGATATATCTGCGGCGGCGGTACATCCTGGAGATAAACATGATACCGTGTAGCGTATATAGGTTTAGACAGCCATATAGATTTGCACTCCTCTGTAAAATGATATAATCCACTGTAAAATTATATAATTGGATTATTACACTTGATTATTGTATGCACGTGGTAATTTACACTATCCGTATCCGGATACTTGCCCCGCCACTGTCCAAATCTATCTATATACGTTACATGGTGTGCAGGCCCGCCCAAATTGTGAATCGACCCTATTGGCTAATCCAAATTTGAGTGGATCGGATTGGCTCTTACAATGTACACAAACAAGGCTATTCAGCTAATCAAAACGTTCCACCAGGAATACAGTACAATAACGATACTACACATTGTCTCAGTGTGTATATATATATATATATACTAATGAAAGATGTTAGGCCTAGATAAAATAATATTTGGATGTCTCCACACATTGCTGGTTGGGGTCGAAGGGTTAAATAAGGGGGATTCGACGGCGTGCCCATCATTCAGCGACTTCTTCGATTGTTTCCAGCGACATGCGCTTCTTGTCCGCCTTCGGAGCGACCTTGATGGGAGCGAGTTCGCGAAATTTCTTGATGCGATCGGCTGACGAAACGTGCACGCTATGGCGGCGGTGGCGGACCTGCGTGCCATGGAACGAGTGCCGCAGCAGGTCGGGGACATCGGACCGTCGACTGCCGAGGGTGTCGGCAAAGCTATGGCGAAGGGACGATGGCGGCGGAATGAACGTGATTGCCGCCGGTCGCGTCGGTGCTGCTGTCGACTCGTCCGTGTTGTCGTGCAGCTGCATGTCGATGAATGTGTAGCGCATGTCTGCAAGCATGAGAAATTTCTCCAGCAAGGGACGCGACATACAGTCAGGATGATGGCAATTCCGGACTGACACATTCACGCGGTCGAGGAACACCGCGAGGCCTTCTTGGCGCTCCATGATGACGCGCTTCGTGTTGGAGAAGATCCATTTCCGCTTGGGAAAGCCGTGCGCGACGGGTGCTTCGTCCGCCAGCTCGACACAGCTTCCACACAGCGTTGTCGATGGGTCGAGCAGCGATGAGCGGAAGGACCGAAAGTCCGAGTACCGCTTGTGCACCAGCCATTGCGTCGTGTTGCTTCGTTGGTCCGCGACGCGGATGGTGTACTGTGTCGGCGAGTGCGCGCCTGGTCCAGCGGGTGATGAGACGCCCGTGATGGACGTCTTCATGCATTGAATCTGGTGTTGTTGCTGCTGCTGGGACGACGACGACGACTGATACGATAGCGGCGGCATGACGACGGCGCTTGTTGGTGGCAATGGGTGTTTTGTGATGTGATATGGCTCTTGGTCTGACCAGTGAGGGTGCAACTATGCGTGTTTTGTCTATTTGTCAAGTTCAACTTCAAGCTATGGTGCAAATGGCTGAAAATCCGGTCGAAAAGGTTGAACATGTGGCTGGTTTTGTCACAGTGCGAAACCACGTATTTCGGTTTCGACATAATCACTTGAATGCAGTATAGGTGCGTGATATGACAGTGACTTGTCAGAAGGGGTTCTCACCCCAATTCCAGCCAATGGTCGTCGAGATTGACCATTTTATAACCAATGGCCTTGCCAATACCAAACAAGTGCATAAAGCAGCATCAGACATTGCCGCTTGCATTGAGGAAGTCAAGTCCCATGTTAGCGCTATCAAACGGCTATGAATGGAGTGTACAACTCTATTCGATCTGGCTTATATTGCCCTTTCTGCAGGCGTTGGACAACAGTTCACGACCGAGCGAGGATTCGCCTGCCAGTTGTTCATAATAACGTCAAAAACGTGCAAGATCGGGGAGTTCGATAGAAAGGTGGTCTTGGGATGTGTGAACGGTACTATGTGCAGTGTGTGTGCGACCCATGTCCAACGAGGTCGCTTTACGAAGTCGTACTACACTGCTTACATGGAGGAGTACTACAGTACACTTCCGTACTGTACATATGCATTCATTGTCAAAAGTGACTTTCTCGACAATCCTAGGATACTTTTCGTAGTTTCAATACGAAGTAACTTACTTCGAAGTACTAGATGAGTCTATCAATTTAAAATACTTCAAAACAAATACAGGTTCTAACGTTTACTTGTGTAGGTCCTATACGTATGGCGGCGCCGACGATTTGTTCGTCAAATTTTGTCGTCCGCTTTGACTCAAGTTTGGAGGTTCGCAACCGAATACTTCCAGGACTAAAACAAGGCATGAGCACCTTGATTTATTATTACGACAACGAACTGTGTAATTATATCATAATTTCTTGGGACATTTGTGAAACGGGGTGGACCAAGGTTGGCAATTTACGATGGTATCCATGGGACAGATCGGAATAATACTGTACTCCGCGTTGAGTCTATTTCTCCTTTCCACCGGTATATGCCATCGAACGCTCCAATGTCGCCAATTTGATGGACCGATATTATGGCCTTAAAATACTACCCTTGGTGCTGAATTTGGTGGATAACGTTAGAGTCAAAAGCGTTTGCTGTTCGCTAAATGTTACGCAAACATAGTATGTACTACTTCACAGTCAGTAGTATCCATTTAAATTTCTTGTTCCGGCTAACTATAAAACTCAGAAGACGACATATCTTATCCGGAGACCTCTTGGGAGGACGCTGCACTTGCCAGTGGTCGCACCTCTTGGTGATGAACCATGACAAGATCAAGGAATGAGCACCAGTCTACAGGCAGCATGAGCCATGCACGCACGCACGTCGTACTACTTGCCTTCCGGAGTCGGGGATTCCTCACTCTCTTGGTTTACGGAGGAGGTGGAGGGGAGACCTCGCTTGGCCCGCGGGCCGTGTTGGTTGCACATCGCTCGTTCCATGTCTCTTGCATGTGTGTGCTGCAGAATCTGACACAGCCACATAAACAACATGCAACACGGATCGTAGAAAGCATGTTTGTACCTGGATCTGTTGATGCAAGGTCATGTTGAGCTTTGTCAGCCGCGCAGTTTCATAGCGCAACGCGGCCGCGGCCGCGTCGGCTTGACTTATCTTTTCTCGCGAAGCTTGGCCGTCCGCCACGAGGCCAACCTTGACTACGTACACGACGATGAGCTTCTATGGCTTGGCGAACCCGAACGATATAATAGTTGTAGTACCTTGCATGAGAACTTGCAAATGGTCCCTGGTTTCGTCGAGTTCGTCCCGAAGTTGCTGGGTCATTCGTTCGTGTTTCGACGTGGCTTTCCACAGTTGCTGTTGCAACCCCATGGTTTTACTACGTTCCGTTCGAAGTTGCTGTTGCCACAGCCCCAGCGTCGCCACCTTTTGCGCCACGTCCACTTGCTAAAACAACGAAACATATTTGAATATTTGCTTCAAGTTTACATTAATAGTAATATTATATATTTCAATATGGACCAATAGTTACAGAGCGATTGGTTACCCGATCGTTGTGTCGCAAGCATATTTCCATGCACTCATTGCTCCATTTTGCGAACAACGACTTAGTCTTTTTGCATTCCGACGCCACCACTCGCTTGGTATGCTGCCACGCGTCTTTGACTCGCTGCTGTTTCTAATCCCAATAATATTTTATGGGCATGAGACTGCCACATCCTATTTATTGTATGGGCATCATACAGTAATGTCTCCGAAGAATATTATTTTTGGCCATAAGACTACAAAATATCGACAATACAATACCTCGACGACGCCATGGACAACAATGTGCTGCACTGCCAGTTGGCGGGATGTCAAGAGCTGAATCTACAAAATACCAGAGATTTTTACCGAAAAAAACTCATTGAAGTTGCTGTTTTACTTGAACTTGAAGCGCACTTTTATCACGCTCCACATGACTGAGCCGTTCCGTCAAGTCGTCCAATTGGGCTTCGGCTGCCTCGGCGCGAAGTCTCGAGTTCGCGCACTCGACGTTGGCGGCTACATACATCGTGCTTTTAAGGGATATTGTAGTGGGAGGACGTCACCTTGAAGGTGCTGTTGGCACTCGAGGTGCACGCGCTTTTCCTCCTCAAACATTGCCTTCATGGCTTCCACTTCCACCCGCGCCTCGTCTTGGCCTGTCGCAGCAGCCTTACACCTCGCCTCCCATTGATTACACGTGGCAGTCGCTCGTTCCAGGTCAGCCTGCACTCGACTCAACGCGTTAGCCCTACTCAGTACCACGTCAGGAGGGCCAATGAAGCTAGCCCATACGTGGCGACTGCTTGGGCGATGCCTTGATCACCCCCGATGCTGCAGACGTTTTGTTCGTCTGTGGATGTGGCGATGGAAACATGCTTTTGGCTGGCAATGGCGGCGACTGGAGCTGTGGCGTGCCGCAATTGTTCTCGCAATTCGTCTATGGATTGGCGTGCAGATTCGGCGTCCTGCACTGCCCTCGCTTCACTCAACTGGATTCTATCAATTATTATATATATATATGTATGTAAACACAATGTAGTAGTGTGCGATAGATACCTGTGGACGTCCACTTGTAACCGTTCGACGGCGCCATTCGCAGCCAGCAGTTGCACGTGGAGCACGCCGAGGGTCGTGATCGCCAGGTCCAAGTTGGCTTGCATCGTGACGACAGTCTTCATGTCATGGTTATCGTCGTGATCGCCGTCGTACGATTGTGGTTCGCTGCTTTCTTGTCGACTCTCCATCAAGTTGGCGTTGACCACATCCCCGCTTCTATCTCAACTTCTCATTTGTTAAGTCGAGGGGTATTGTACCGAGGGATCGAATGGCGCAATGTGTCTGCAAAGGTGGGGAGCAAACTGTCTGCCTGCTGCAACAATAATGCACCCACAGTCATCATCACTACGACTTCATGAAGTTATGCGGACGTACTCGCGCGATGGGGGCGATGGTGGTGGAGCGAAGGGAGGTGATGGTAGCTGTGCTTAACGGAAGGACCACCCCCTCGATGGCATTGCTATTGGAGTAAAACAAATGAATTAGTCCTGTGTACAGTCGGGCTGATAAGTTAACCTATATTGGGGGATGTGTGGGACGACGTACATGGTGGAAGTCGACAGAGATACTATCGTTGGCGACGTTGATTGAGATTCAGATGCTGTTGTCGAGGGCACAGCAGGCAATGCTGGTGTACCAGGTGCTGCGGGTGGGGCCACAGAAGGAACCTTGGAACTGTCGCTGCTACTGGTCGTGTTGGCATTACTACCGCTCAAGTAATCGAAGAACACGTCGTTCTCTTCGTCCATCCAATCCGTTTCGCTGGGGGGTGGACTGTGCGATCGGCTCGCGGGTGTCGAACGCACACTTGTGGACCGAGTACGTGGCGTTGCCTAAGCACAGGATACATAAGTACATGACCATGTACAAAGGTCGGGCATACCATGATGATGATGCAGCCTGGTGCCAAATGTGCGCCGCTTCGGCATCTATACGAAACTCCCGGATCGAACACAGCCAATCAGCGTGACTCGGTCCATGTTGGATCCACCAATCAAATGGCGACATTATTATTGACATCATTTCACCGCTTGCGTTTTGCGTGAAGGCATTTATTTACACGGTGCTTTGGCCATCCAGTCATTAAAATATCTAGCCCCATGGACGATCAATTTCGAGCGGGTGGTGGTTTTGTGTGAGGAAATAAGAATGATCTGGGAAGTTTGCCGTTGAATGTTGGGGCTCGGGGCTACGAGGGGAATCTATTTTCGCGTAAATGGCAACAAACTCTCTCCGGATATTGCAAGAGTTTCTATTCTATAAAATTCGAATTGAAATGGAAATTTGTTGTGAAGTTTTTGCATTAAAACCTCTGGCGAACCTAGCCACAAGACAACATACCACTGATGAAGAGCATATCGGATACTCCTGTTGTACTTCAAGTACTTCGTAGTGTATGTCATGAAAATAATAGATGCCTCCCGACACTTACAGTATCATCCTACTGTAGCCCCAGAATGAACTTCACAGTCAACGAAGGTGGTGGTAACTTGGTACGATCGATAGCATCTTCATAACGCCACTCATCTACCAAAAAAATACAGAGAGTGGTGAAGAAGTATTGGGTAACGAGTGGTGCTGCATGTTTTCGATCGTTTTGCATCCACTTGTAGCAGCAAATTCAGTACCACAAGGCCATTTTGAAAATTCCATCGCATTTGGAACAACACCAACCAAATAGACGTGGAATATGCTCAACAAACCCACCCCCCAGGCCGCCACTTTCAAGGCCAACGATCGATGGCCTATCATCAATTCTCCGTCCAACGTCATCGATATCAGTGGCGACATTGCCATGGACGCACAATCTGTCTCATCCAGCAACAGCTTTAGCCGTACTAGAAAGCCCCGTCAGTCGCCCTGTAGCACTGCGGGAGGAAGCGTGTGTAGTTGAGGGCAAAATGCACAATGAATTAACTGAAGATCTACAAAGATCTCCTTAATCCTCATCACTATGAAATCTTCTTAATCTACTTCACTACTTCTACACTAATATGCACTTTTGTATACAATGGATGCGGGTGCGGTTGAGACATTGGGAACTTCACTA